TCTGACCGGTCGGTCTGACTAGTGATGTCAGCATGATGTCATGCTAACATCAGCATACTGAAATAAGCAAAAAGGCAAAAAATTCAGATTCTCCACCTAATTAAAGTTTAAAAACCATCAAAACCAAGATGAAAAACAGAAAAAGTGATAAGAGTGGAGGAGATCACGAATGTTACTGCAAACCAAGATGAAAAAGTCAAAAGTGATAGATTGGAGAGTGGAGGAGATTGCGAATGGCAGACTGGCAGTAGCAATCCAAGATGAAAAACTGAAAAACTGAAGAAGGGGCAAGACCGCAAGAGTGCAAGAAGGCTCTGTATCTGATTTGTAGCTCAAAACTCAAAAGCAAAATAGCAAATTGAAAAATGAAAATTAAATTTGTTAAAGTCTGACACTTTGACTTTGTGAGTTTGTGTGCGCGGCTGTGAGCAACTGAGCATTGAGCAACTGTAGTTTTTAATTTTTTAAACTTTTTTTTCTCATTTCATGTGTTAAACCGGATGGGGGTGTGGACCAGAAATTTGTTAAATATCGGTTCGACCGTCGGTTTGCTACAGTAAGACAATCCAACCGTGGTTTGAAATGATTTGATCATAAATCTCGATTATTTGCTCTCTTTAAACCGAAAATGCAAGCGGGTGGCGGTTGGACCGATTCGACCGTCCGGTCTGGTCCGGGTTTCAGAACCTTGGTTTCATTAGCTTGACAGTTTATGTATCGCCTTTCTCATTAACTTCAAGGGAGAGCGACCTTATCCCACCCAAGGTTTGGTGAAACAACACTTTCCCACCCATCAAGTTTTAAAATAATACTTTTCCACTCTTCGTCAGGTTCTGTTAATGTTTTTTGTTAATAGTTAACTGAAAAGACAAAAATACCCTTAAATAGTTTATTTCTTAATTTGTTTATTATAAATTATAATTTAGTTTAGTCAAAGGTTTTACTCAATTATTTATTAGTTCAAATGTAAAGATATATTTTTTCCTTTGTTTATTTAATTAATTAGAAATATTTATTTTCTATGTTAATTAATAAAAATGAAAAACATTATAAATTTAATAGATTATTGAATAATAGTGATGAGATATTGAAAATATTATAAATAAATAAATATTAAGGTCATTTAACTTTAAATAATTGCATAACATTACTCATAACTTTTTAGGTGGGGCTAACAATTTTTTTTTTTTTAACTTTTTGACTAATTAAAAAAATTATGAAGTCAAATATTTAAGGGAATTTTTGTCTTTTCAACAAAATATTAGTTTAAAACATAACAAAACCTAACAAAGGGTGAGAAAGTATCATTTTGAAACTTGAAGGGTGGGAAAGTGTCGTTTTGCCAAACCTTGGGTGGGACAATGTTTTTCTCCCTTAATTTCAAATCAATTCATTCTCAAATTTTGCACATAATCCATTTGTAAGTACAAGGCCATATATAAAGGATTGATTTACAAAAACGAAAATGCATTCGACATGCTTGTCTGAAATCAGTATTTCAAAAATGTAAAAGCGAAGCGTATCTGATATGTTTGTCTAAAACCAATATTTAAAAAATAAAAATATAATTCAAATTATATTTGACAACACATATAGTCAAAATGGATCTTAATTTGATACTCATAAAAAAATGAAATACAATAATTGAGGTTTAAGTTTTATGTAAGCTTTGTTTAAATGAAAAAAAATGTTTATACAAAAGTTATTTAATAGGGACGGTCGTCCATATTATATGGACGGCCGTCCCTTGCATATGGACGCCCGTCCATATAACATGGACGGGCGTCCATGTGAGTGAACGGCCGTCCAAATTAGATGGACGGCCGTTCACTAGAAAAAAATTATAAAAAAACTGAGGGACGCGTTCCACGTAGGCCGGTACAGAAATTCGGTGGACATATTTCGGTGTCCGTAGTGTTATTGATATTAAATTGGGTAGATGATTATGTTTGATTATTTTGTAAAAGAACATCCTCAGGAAACAAAAAAAAAGTCAAACAGTACCAAATTGAAGGTAAATCAGCGGGAATAATATTACTTGGAGGGACGGTGTTATCAAAATATTACTCTGATAATTCAAATTTTTGTCTAATTTTGCCTCAAAATAGTGGACAATAAGGACGAAAATATCTTTGATTTTGTTAATAATTACAAAACACCCACACGAATTTTTCCTCAGTTTTTTTATTTTTCAAACAAAATTGCCCTGCTTATTATCAATGTTTTCAGAAATACCACGAAATATTGGTGTGCCCATATTATCCTCACATATTTGCATATTTTGGCCAATATGCCCTTTTATTTCACTAAAACTACAATATAAAAAGAAAAAAAAATCTCAGCCCAAATACACATTTTGACCGAGACTCTGCCCTAAACCTCCATCGCCATCGCTGGTCTTCTTCTTCTTGATCTCGTTTGCGACTTCATCACTCTGATCACCATTTTCCGATAAGTCAAATGCCCTCTTTCCATTGTATTTTTTATTTTGGGTTTGTTTTGCGTTCATTAGTGTAAGATCTCACTCTTGCCTCTGCCGTTGGTTGACCATCTTCGCCGCAGCGCCTTGGGTCTTCGTCTCCATCTGTTTGATCTAGGCAGCACTCCATTCGTCATTTCCGGTAAGTCCCTTGCTCTCTTTCCATTATATTTTTCGTTTTCTGTTTTGTTTTCGTTCGTTAGTCTAACTTCTCCCTCTTCCATCTGCCGTTGGTCGACCATCTCCGCCGTAGCAACCTTGGGTCTTCGTCTCCATCTGTATGCTCCCGACAATGACTTAACAATAAAATAATTGGCTAAAATATAAGAAAAAGAATTTTGCTAATTGATCATTTCTTTTATTAACCAAACACATTAATTATTTATACCTAGTAATCATCTAAAGGGCATTTTAGTAAAATGTAATCAAGACATCTGCTCTTACAGCCAACCAAACAGATTAATTTGTAACACAAGTAATCATCCCAAGGGTATTCTAGTAAAAGGATATTTCAGGACATCTGTTATTGCTGTCAACCAAACACATTAATTATTAATATATCCCAATTAAACCAAGCACAATAATAATTTAAACCCGGTAATCTACAATGTAATCTTCTTTTCCGGTAATCTTATTACTAAGATAAAAAAAAAATTATATGATCCAAACACCCCCTTAGTAATAAAATTTTGACACCAATTCTTATTCTTCGATTTAATCTAATTTAATGGGCTTCAACAAGAAGTTAAAATTAGTTTTTTTTTTTTTTTCTTTTCCTAAATACTAAGTAAGTAATTTCTAAATTATTGGATTACCATGAGTAATAATCATGAGTTTTAGTTAAAAAATTGGGTTACAATAGTTTTGTGAATCAATTGTCATGAGAAATTTTAATTAGTTATTTTTTATAAAGTATTTTTAAACTATTGAATTACCATTAGAATGATGATAAATTTGTGTCCAAAATGAGTTTCATTAGCTTGACAGTTTATGTATCGCCTTTCTCATTAACTTCAAGGGAAAGCGACCTTATCCAAGCTCAGGTTTGGTGAAACGACATTTTTTCACCCGTTAAGTTTTAAAATGACACTTTCCCACTCTTGGTCAGCTTCTGTTAATGTTTTTTTGTTAATATTTAATTGAAGAGACAAAAATATCCTTAAATAGTTTATTATAAATTATAATTTAGTTTAGTCAAAGGTTTTACTCAATTATTTATTAGTTCAAGTGTAAAGATATATTTTTTCTTTTATTTATTTAATTAATTAGGAATATTGATTTTCTATGTTAATTAGTAAAAATGAAAAACATTATAAATTTAGTAGATTATTGAATAATAGTGATGGGATATTGAAAATATTATAAATAAATAAATATTAAGGTCATTTAACTTTAAAAAATTGCATAGCATTACTCATAACTTTTTAGGTGGGGCTAATTATTTTTATTTTTTTTAACTTTTTGGCTAATTAAAAAATAATAAAAAATTTATGAAGTCAAATATTTAAGGGTATTTTTGTCTTTTCAACAAAATATTAATGTAAAACATAACAAAACCTAACAAAGGGTGGGAACGTATCATTTTGAAACTTAAAGGGTGGGAAAGTGTCGTTTTGCCAAACCTTAGGTGGGACAATGTCTCTCTCCCTCAATTTCAAATCAATTCATTCTCAAATTTTGCACATAATCCATTTGTAAGTACAGGGCCATATATAAAGGATTGATTTATAAAAACGAAAATGTATTCGACATGCTTGTTTGAAATCAGTATTTAAAAAATGTAAAAGCGAAGCGTATTTGATATGTTTGTCTAAAAACAATATTTAAAAAATAAAAATATAATTCAAATTATATTTGACAACAAACATAGTCAAAATGGATCTTAATTTGATATTCATAAAAAAATGAAATACAATAATTGAGGTTTAAGTTTTATGTAAGCTTTGTTTAAATGAAAAAAAATGTTTATACAAAAATTATGACATTGTATCATTTTAATCGTAAAAATTTAACTAGTTCTCTTTGTTTTAAGAAAAAAAAAAAAACATAAACAAGAATATTTTTCCTTCTACAAAAATAAAAAATAAAAAATATAGTAAACGGAAATATAAATGACCCATGCAATTTCTAATCCAATTGAAGAGAGAGGGTACAATAAAGGGCAAGGGAGAGCGAGTGGATCGGATCTCATTAGCAAAGGCGATGGAGAATAAGGCTGGCCCATTTTTCCTAAGAACTCGGCCTGGTCTGGTTTGTGTTGTGGGTTAAACCGTCAAAGCCATTCAATGGTTGCGGACTACTAATCGTGTTAAATTGTATTCAATAAATTCCTAATAACATAATGTATAATACTACACATACATCATTTTTATATAATATTTTTTATATAATATTATGTGATAAGATATGATTAGGTGAAAATTTAATTTTAACTTTAAATTAGTCAATCATATCTTACCACATAATATTGTATGAGAAATATTGTATGAAAATGATGTATGTGTAGTACCCTTATATTATTAAGTGTCATAGAATTGATCTATGATTATTTTAAAATTATACAGTAATGATATATCGAATTTGTAATTTTATTTTTTGTCTTGATATCGTATTCGTCATCAATCCATAATATATACCAGCTCCACTTATGGTTTAGACTTTAGAGCCATCTACACCGCAGTTTCAACGTTTCTTTTAAGCTCATTTATACTATTCACAAATCCATCCAAGTCTTTATCTGAACTTCCTCCTTTACTTACTGCATTCATGACAGCCTCTCTCAGTTCTCTTGCTTTCATTCTTTGTGGCCCTGTTCCATTCACAGACTCATCAAACAACTGAGCCAACTTTGTTGATTCAGGAATATTCTCTATATTTTCGCCAACTCGGATCCCCACTCCCAATTCATCAACCAAGAGCTGCGCGTTCATGAACTGGTCGGAGCTCATTGGCCACGTCAGCATCACCACACCGGCTGAAATTCCTTCCAAGGTCGAGTTCCAACCACAATGCGTCAAGAACGCGCCGGTGGCTCGGTGCCTTAATATGGCAACCTGTGGAGCCCATCCTTTTATAATGTAACCCCTACCCGCCACACGATCTTCGAATCCGTCAGGTAGGTCACCGTAATCCTCTCCCGCGTTTTTCTCTGTGCGTTCCCGTACAGACCATATGAAATGGATGCCGCTTTTCTCCAAGCCGGTTGCTAATACGTCCGTTTGTTTCGAATTTAAGACTTGACGACTACCGAAACAAACGTAAACGACCGAATCGTCACGACGAGAGTTTAGCCAGGTGAGTAACTCGTAAGTTGGCACCGCAGTGGTCCCACCACGTGACGTGGACCATGCCAAATCATCATCAGACGGCAACAGAGGTCCCACCGCCCAAACACGATCGTGGCCGACATCTTTTTTAATGTGATCGATATAATCACGTTCCAACTCAATAGTTGAGTTGAACACGACTCCCCAACTAGCTTTGTCTTCAAGCACGCAGCTTCTAAAAAGTTCCCAATCCGGGTTCCCTTCTTTACCCTCTCGGTAAATACGAGAGACCTGACAGCCGGGGTAAGTTGGACAATTCGGAATTTTCGGAAACGATAGCTGAAAATTTACGTTATGAGGAGGGCGAACGACTTGTACATACCCAAAATTTACTGTAATGATAAGTTGATACCCAAAAGGTTTTGAAACGATAAATAGGTACCTTCCATCATATTCTGTTAGTGAGTTTTGTTTATTAATAGTGAAAAGACTAAAATGCCCTTCAAAGTTTCAATTTTTGTTTTTTATAAATTTAAAAATTTCTAAAAAACCCCCTAGGTTTGCTAATTTAATTAAACACCCCCATATATAAAAAGTTTGTTAAATAACAAAAACACCCCCACCACCCCAATGCCAGATTCCGGCCACCATCGCCGGAATCTGGCCGGAAAACTGCATTACGACACAGATCCCCATCGGATCTGTGTCGTAAAGTGCCGATGTGGCCTTTTCAGAGCCAATCCCCGCCACGATCTGGCCGGAAAGGCCAGATCTGGCCGTCGAAGCAGCAGCCGATCTGGCCTTTTCCGGCCAGATCCGTGGCTGATCTGGCCGAAAAGCCAGATCTACTGCCAGATCTGGCCGTCGACGCCGCAGATGGAGTTTTGCGGCGTCGACGGCCAATCTAGCCGTAGATCTGGCCTTTTCCGGCCAGATCAGCCACGGATCTGGCCGAAAAGGCCAGATCGACGCGTTACGACACGAGCCACGGGTCTGTGTCGTAACGCAACTTTTCGGCCAGATTCCGGCGGTGGTGGCCGAATCTGGCATTTGCCGGTGGGGGTGTTTTTGTTATTTATAAACTTTTATTATTGGGGTATTTATGAAATTTGTAAACTAGGGGGTTTTTTGAATTTTTAAATTTATAAAAAACTAAATTCAAACTTTTAGGGTATTTTAGTCTTTTCACTATTATAAAACGTATACAGAAATCACTAACAGAACATGACGGAAAGTACCTATTTGTCATTTCAAAACCTTTTGGGTACCAACTTGTCGATACGATAAATCTTGGGTATGTATAAGTCGTTCTCCTTTGAGGATATTCAATCTTTGGTAATCAGTCCACAAAGCATATGATATACACAGGGATAAAGTGGCGGAGGACGAGAACACAACACGTGGCACTCCAGCCTGCGAATCCAACTGTTGGGTCCAACCGAGTAAAAAATCAGACAGAATAGCAACAGCAGGTGAAGGGTGAGACTGGAACCAAGAAAGGAGTGCAGGATAATGAAGTTCACGCAATCCACGCATCATATTGAGAAGTCTGTTTGATGAGGAAGTTGTTGGCCACGACGGCGTGGGGAGGACCAAGGTTTGGAGCGAGGAAGAAGGGTAAGAGGAGAGTAATGGGTGGAGTAAAGAGGAATTGTTAGGGGTGATAACAACGGTGACGTTTAGGCCGCGGGTGAGTAAGCTGTGGGTGAGATCGAGGAGAGGGATAATGTGGCCTGAGGCTGGGTATGGATAGACGAGAATATGTGCTCCGGAGGCTGGCATTTTGAAATTTTGAAACGTTGAGAATGTTTGTTTGAGTGTTGGTGTTAAAATAAATAAAAAAAAATAGGGTTTATATTAATGGGGAAGGAACAAAAATCATGCTTTCGTATAAGTGCTTCTTATCTGTTGATACGCGGTTCATTATAGTTTGTCAAGATTCCAAGTAGGGAATTCAAATTTCGGGGCCCGCGAGAAGACAACTAAGCACTAAATCTGAACCCGGGGAATATCGAGAATTTTATAGTATGGCCGAGTCGGGTTTACTCCGGTCAATGTACCAGGTAACAAATCCGAAGGAAACCCGGGTTATGTAATTTATAACCTGTTTTTTATTTCTTTGAAAAAATTATTTTACATATTCAACTTTATAACCTGTTTTCGCATTAATTTTTTCTTTTTTTTTTGGGTGATTAGGTGTTCAGACTAGTTTATACGTACCTCAACTAATCCCTCAGGATCTTGAAAGTTGACAGGCGGACAAACCTCTTCATTGGCCATCCCTATTAGCAACCCAAATTGATCGAATTCATGACTTCTTAGGTAATATATCTAAAAGTCCTAATTGACTGCTGGCCAGCTTATCCTGCAAAATTCTAAAAATTTTAGTTTCATGAATAGCCAAGTCTTTTTAATAACAATTAATTAACTTGGGATATAAAACCAAATGAATATTCGAAATCAACCATTAATGAACTTGGATGGTTTATTTAGGCTTTCCTGAATCAGAAAGTATTAGTAACCTCAGTTTCGCGATATAATAGATACAACACGAGTGACAAAATTATAAAAACTAAATAATCAATAGAATTACTTTAAAGAGCCGTAACATTTTGTTTCATTATTAATGTCAAAGATGTATAATTCACTATTCCACTTAATTTTTTTTTTATTAAAATACATTTTAGAGAGCTGTGTGTCGTGCTCCTACGTGGTGGCTACTTTGGTGATGCTTGTTTGCGTGTTGGTTGCTCTGCCTTTGCGTTTCAGGAAAGCGATAGCTGCCTTCAAGTGGGTATTTGTTAGCTAGTTGCGTGCTCGTGGTTGGTGGCCGTGAAGTACGTTTCAACCTTTGGATGCGATGGCAGTGTGGTGATGCCATTTTAGGCTGGCTGTAGTGAAGTGGTGTCGCATTTGATAATTGGGAGGCCCACGGCACCACCTGTTGCGGTTGTGGTTCCCGGGACATCCCCAGGCACTCACTCATTCTATGGTTAGTCTCTCCGGGTAGACTACGCACTATGGACCGCCTACAGGCCCACGTCCTCATAGCTTCCTCTTGAGTGTGTTCTTCGCGGCTCTGCATCTGAGACCCACGAGCACATTTTCATTAGTTGCACCTTCTTTGCATCGGTTTAGGAAGAGGTGTCTGCTAAAACCCTCCTGACTTGGCCTCCTTTCTCCTGGCCTTCTACTCTCCAGTGGACAGTCTTCACTTTCGTCGTAAGGGTGACTTCAGGCACCTCCTTGCACGGTTACTCCTCTTCGCCACAGTTTATTTCCTCTGGTATGAAATGAATAATCGTGTGTTCAATCATGAGAGCAAGACCCAGCGTGTTGCCATTGATGAGATTTTCACCTTAGTCTGAGATCTAGTCTGCGACTTGGCCTCTAAGTATGACATTATTCCTTAGCTTAGAGCCATCCCACGCCTGCTAGACTGATTTTGCTTTGTTTGTTTTTCTAGAGCATGTGTGCTCCTTAGGACGCTTGCACCCCTGCCTCTTTTTCTATAGAGCCTGCGCGCTCCCTTAAAGTCCTTGTGTTGTGTCCTCTCTCTATAGAACTTGCATGCTCCTTTTTTTAGCAGTTGTGCCCATCTTTTTTGCTTGCATGTTGAAAACGATGGACACATCCGTTTAGGTCAATTTTGACCTTCTCTGAGAGTATGTCTCTCGTATTTTGTATTTTTTTCTTTCTTTAATACATATTTAACATTTCCAAAAAAAAGAAAAAAATCAAATAACTCAAATACCAGCAGGATGAAATTAAGCCTGGTCCATCTATCTCAAGAACTCGGCCTGCTCTGTTCGGTTGAATGATCTGTTTTTGTGTAGTGGCTTAATGCCAAACATTGTTTGCGGACTTCCTCATTCCACACTGCTAATCGTGTTAAATTGTCGTTGAATAAGCGACTGAAAGTTGGAGCAGGTTGGTTTAAATCTTAACTCAACTTCTGCACTTACTGCTAAGTTCCTACCCCATTTCAGCTTCTGAAAAAATTAGATTCACAATTTACTTCTGAAAAAACTAGTTGATTAACTAACTACAATGAAATGCAATAACGTGTTCACTTAGCTTAGATGTGTCATGGAAACAATGATAAGGTTAAGCCAGTATGCTAAGCTGCGGTTTCAAATACAAAAAGTGATATTAATTTCAGCTGCAAAATTAGTTATCATGCATCCTTGAAGCAAAAGATGAAATATAAGTATACATCATTCCAGTTTCTAATTTATGAAAATTTAGCTGGAGAAAAATAAAAGGGAAAGGAGAACTCTAGCTCTTCCTACAGGAATACGACCAAAATTTGGAAAGAAAACAAGATTATGGTATCACATGTTCTTCGTTCAAAGGCTGGTTATTGTGGATTGGAGGACGGCTAGGAGTGTGTCCTTGGTAATCTTTGCTCATCAGCTTCACAATTTCATCATCAGCAGCATCAAGAAGCTTCTGAGATTGAACATTCCTAAAGTTATCACCAGAATCTTGGAGTTCTCTTTTTTCTGAATTTTCTGGGGAACCTGCCAATCTACTTGTACTAGTGAGATCAACTGACTTCATCCAAGAATTTTCCAGGCTTGCAGAGTTCAGTAACTTTGCCTTCACCACGCTTCTTTCATCCTATAAAAACATTAAAATTTTATATCTTGAAGAAAGAATTAAAATGAAATACATATATATACATATAGAAGAAGTAAGAGATGAAAGACCTGCTGATTTTGTAAGAGTTCTGAGTTCCCTGAGTGCTTCATATTAAGAGCATAATCCTTACCTGCATCCCGACAATTGAAAATATAAACACCGTTTTGCCTTAATTAATTTACTTGGTTAATTTTATGTAATTTGGGTCAACAGTTTTATATATATCAATAAACAATCACTCATGTTACTGGTCATTAATTAATCCAAGCGATGTGTATCCTTAAAACATATAAAGATCAAGCATACTGTAGAAAGAAATGGAATATATATTAGATGTGGGACATTTTTAGAAGAAATTGTTTTTCCACATTGAAATATTTCTTTTTGTTTACATACAAGTATGATATTCTTCCGCACATACATGAACTCAGTACAAAATCTATCAAAAAGAAAGAACAAACTACTGAAAAATTAAACAAAATTGGAAGAGTCGACAAAATAACTCTTGCTATATGTGTGAATTGGAAGAGTCGACAAAATAACTCTTGCTATATGTGTGCTAGCTTCAGTACTGCATTTCCTCAGTTATTCCTAGGTGGATGGGATTTTGGGACATGATAATCAGCACTAAAAGCTGTGAAACCACCCATTTTGACCTTCTTATGATGAGGTTGAGGACCTCTCTTCCTCAGTTTGCATTCTACATTCAAAATTCCTTTCCTTCTACGATTACAGTTTCCTACAGAGTGAGCTGCACCTGAAATTGAATCTTCTCGATTCAAAACTTCCTCTTTCGCCAAGCCCCTTTTCAACATCCTTTTCCGTCCTCCAAGCACAGCCACGCCAGGAACACCATCATCCTTTTCAACATTTGTCGAGCTTCTTCCGGCAGCTTCAAGCTCTCTTCCATGTGCAGCCACACTTTTCTTCATATCTGCAAATTCAACAAACATCGCTCAAGCTTTATGCATAAAATTAAATCTCATTTATCCTGACTCGAAAAGAAACTTAAATACCTTGGTGGGTTTGCGCAGTGGAGTCTCTTACATAAACCAAAACCAACACAAGCAAAAAACAAATGAACCTTAACGGCGCCATTTTTGGCTTCCTTTCTTCTTTGGGTAATCACTTAATTATTCAACGGCAACAACATAGAGATGTCAAGTAGAAGAGAAGAGGGTCTTTATAGATTCCAACCCAAGTCAAAGCTGCGGTTCCAACGCTTACTTTTATTCCAATTTCTTGATAAAATATAATTCATAAGAACATGTAGTTACTTTGGGAAACTTAAAAAACCAAAGCGGTGTTCAAAACTTGAGTTGAAAAGTTGAAATTGTTTTCTGGGTTGGCTTCAAAAATGTTAGGGAAAAGGTCTACGATCGCGTGGAATGGAAGATACGGGTGTTAGCGCCTGTCTGCCGCCATGCATGCAACGAGGAGAGTTTTGTCTTGGTGACCAAGCTTTGGCTACACAAAAAGCTTCATAGATTTCATTTTTATAAACTTCTGCAACTCTACTCCCCATACAAACATATAAATTAAACTTTCCAAAGGTAAATTTTTCGCGTTAATATTGATCATAAGGTGTAATGTAAAAGATGTGAATCAGTAAAAGAGATTCACGGCTGCCAAAGTTGGACCAAGGCACAGTTTTTTAAGGTAGTGGAAACAAACCAGGCTTAAAATAATTCAACAAACTATAGCCTTAGGTTTCTAACTTTGATTAAATCATTAGGCTTGAGGGCAGGGTTGACTGACCTCGGTGAGGGTTTGACTGAGAATAACAGGTTTCTGGGGACCAGTTTGAGCTTTGTGATCAAGTCTGGTTGGGGAGAAACAGAATACAGATTAAAATTTTAAGCCTAAACCCTAACTACAAGCTAGGGATTATCACTCTTAGAGCAACCACATGCTAGTTTCATTATATTTATAATTTAAAATATTAGAAATTTTAAATGAGAGAATAAAATTGTAAATAAAATTTTTTTATTAAAAGGTTTGAACTTCAAAAAAAAAAAAAATTGTCCTTTGTGAATGTGCTGTGAGAGCTGTAGTTAAGTGTTGATTAAGCTTACATTTAATTTAATTAATTAATCTAAAGTATGAAGCTACTAAAACAAATATTGCATGTGGTGCACGATAGATATTTATTAATTAGATTAAAATATATTTTAGCATTGCATCTCAGATAATTAAATTGATTAGTTTCTGCAATAAATCGACGACCTATTGCCTTTTGACCTCGTTAAGGAATTAAACGCTGCAAATATTTAGTTTAATTATATTTAAGAAAGCTCTAATGAGGATGTGGATATGCAATTAATTAATGTAACACTTAACAAGTTGAATCTTCTTATAATAGAATAGAATATATATAGCCTAGATAAAAAACACTTCATTTACAACTCAATTTCATAATCTTCTGTTACAACCCTAACATAGGAGTTGACACTACTACGTCTATTGACGTCTTTAACTAAATATAAATGGTTGTTCTTTCTAGGGATGAACGACTATTCCTTAGAGATGAACGATCATTCATTCATAAGACCATCTCCAACCCATTGCACCAATTTGGTGCAAAATTGCACCAAATTGGTGCAAAACACTATTCCATCTCCAACCCACAACATCAAATATTGCACCAAAAAAAATATTCCCTATAATATTCTTTAGAATATTCTTTTTTTCTTTTATTGTAATAATCAACAATTAATCCATTTCACTTATTATTTTTGTATATATTAATTAAATATTGGGAATGATATTTTTATTAAATAATAATTATTTTGAAAATTATACTAATTTAATATAATTAAGCATTTATTTAATCAAATAAACATTACATTTAATATAGAAAAACATTATAGAAAACATTACATCTAATATAAAAGATACAAAAAAAAAAAAAAAAAAAAAAAAAACAACAACAACAACACAAAGGTAAAATTCCATATTGATAGTAATTTAATTTTCCAAATTAGTTGTTCTTCCCACAAATGATCAATTAATGAATTTCGAAGAGCATGGTGAGCCTCTGTATCCTGATTTGTTTATGTCGAGCAAGAAATTTCGAAATCGGACATTCTCATCTATGACAATTTCAACTTCGGGAGTTGGCGCTTCCATCTGATTCTCAATCGATGCATCAACATTGCGTTCATCCTCGATTTACATTTTGTGCATAATAATACACGTAGTCATTATATCAGTAAATATTTTTATCCCAAAAACGTGTCGGTCCTGCACAATGCAAATCGCGATTGGAGACCTCCAAACGCACGTTCCACATCTTTTCTACATCTTTCCTGTTTCATTGCAAATAATTTTTTTTTGGGACCACGTGGATCGTGAATAGTTTGTACGAGAGTAGACCACTTTGGGTATATACCATCAGCTAAATATAACCCATATTATAATCTTTTCCTTGAATGCTATAATGAGCGGGAGGCGCAATACCTTGAGTTAGGTTGGCAACAAATGAGTTGCCTCCAACACTTAATGTCTTGTTGGAACCTGGCAAACCAAAAAATGCATGCCATATCCAAGATCAATCAGCTACAGCCTCGAGAATATAGTTGGGATCACTACGACCAGCATATTGTCCTGCCCAAGCTGTTGGACATTTTCCACTTCCAGTGCATACAATCTAAACTACCCAACATTCCTGGAAAACCACGTTGTTCACCAATATGAAGTAGCCTTGCAACATCATTAGCATTAGGTGATCTTAGATATCGTTCTGCAAATACCCCAACAACAGCACGACAAATCTCTTCAAACTTTCAATGGTTGTAGACTCGCCTATTTTATATACTCATCAGTAGCATCTCGCCGGTAGACCATTGTAACACCTACTGAAAACTGTACAATGCATGCAATTAACAATGAAAAATTGGGCCCAAAATGTTTCTTTTCATTACAATTCACATGTCTTTTATACACAAAGGTTACTGTTACAAAAGTGCATTTAAAAGACAAAATAGGGGAACAGTGTAGCTATTGCTCCTCGCGCGCCGACGCCCCTCCAACCGCATCAACACCTAAACCTCCATCCACAAAGGAAAATAACGGGTGAGCACAAATAATGCTCAGTAAGTAAAACTCTCTAACTGTCTGTCCCCGTGTGTGACTCTTAATTCTTTCCTTTTCTAATTCGTTTCTATTTCTGTTTCTAAAACATCATGGTCTCATCTTATCGAGGTACGGCCGGATGGCGTTCACACAGCACCATCTCACTCTCTATGGCTCGGGTGAATTCACACAGTACCAACTCTTTTTGTGACTACCGAGTGAGGATCACAAAGCACCAACTCGGTTCCTCCTAACTATCGGTGGAGATCCCTAGCACCTACCCGTTCCTCATGAATTTTGGGTAATGATCACCAAGCATTTACCCGTCTCTAGTCACTATCGGTGATGATCACAAAGCATCAACCTGTTCTACTAGCCGTTGATGATGATCACAAGCATCAACAACATATCTCTTAACTAATCGGGTATGGTCACAAAGCATCTACCCATTCCTATTACTCATTGGGTGACGATCACTAAGCTCGACCCATCTCTCCAAGGCTATTCGGATGATGATCAAAAGCATCAATCCGATTCCCATAACGGTCGGTGATGATCACAAAGCATCATCCAACTATACTACTCTTCTACTCATTCTATTGTAGCTTTTTTCAGCTCTCTACCCTTAGAGTAATTTTACCCACTAAGCTCTCTACTCATAGGGTATTTCTATACACAAAGTTCCCTACTCTTTGTTGGTCACTTGTCAATGCATAACAATGCACGGATGATTCATCTCTACTAATGCACTTGTGAAATGCCAACATGCAATGTTGCAAAAATTAGGTTCATTACTCACACTCAATTCTCTATTGGCATTTCATCAAATAACTCATTGCACTATAAACTCTATCATAGCCATGAATCTAAAACTTTTCCTAACCATCCAAAATGGGGAAAACCCCTTCACAAAGTCATAATAACCTGTCAACAACACACTTCCAAAAAGGATTCCATAACACCCCTTCAATTCCATCTCATCTACCTTGCCAATCTAACAACCCATTCTCATATTTGCAAGGTATTAACATTCACAAGCATAGAAATCTCCATTTAATACTCCATACATGGCATAATACATGCACATCAAATACATACATCATTTCTATCAAAACCCAATCAAGAAATTTCATGAATTTCAACTTGGGTTGGTTTTACTTACTTGCTAGGGAGAACTTCACCAAATCTTCTTTCCACTTGGTTTCCTTGACTATTCTCTCTACTCTTAACCAAAAGAATGAAAACCCTCAAAAACCAAAATGAACTAAAATCAAAATCCACACACTTAAGGAGAAATCCTTACCTTGGAAGCCTTAGGTTGTTTTCTATACCTCAAATCACTTCAAAATCCCTTGGAAATCCTGATCAAAAGAAAGAGAGTTGAGAGGAGTAGAATAAAGAGTTGCGTTTGAGAAGAAGAGAATGAGGGGTTTTCTTTGATTCTAATTCCTTTTAAAGATATAAAACACACTCATTCCCATTTTGCCCTATTTTCTTCTATGGAAATTCCATCCATATCCTTTGATCTTCACAAACTCACCCCATATCACATATTCTCCATGAAAAATCCTTACATTCACTCCCCACTTTTCCTGCTAATTAGGGTTAAATGTCAAATAGCCCTTGAGAAGAAAATGTCTAAACCACTCAACATTTTAATCGGCCTGTCGCCGCGGCGAAGCACCTTTGTCGCCGCGGCAAAACTATCCAGAGAGTTTCACCCTTGGTTTCAACCCGTCTTCGCCGCGGCGAAGATTTCTTCTTCGCCCGGCGAAGCTTGGTACACTCAAATTCTTCTATTTTCAACCAAAATTCAGGGCACATCAACATAACATCATCAACAAAAATCAATAAAACCAACTCAAATAAGAGCGAAAGAGGAAACAATAACACGTACCTCAAGTGGGCGTTACAACTATACGCCACATCCGGAATACCGCTTTTATTTTTGAAAAGCAGAACATCCGAGCCTATCGAGCCCATCCCTTCGTTGTAACAGAGTTGTCATGACCTTTCACCTGATCAACAATAGAATGAATAAATTGCGAG